ACAAATTAAATAGTGTGGGCTCAGGCACCCCCAGCGCCCACCCCCACACATATATGTTATTCACCATGTATTGCACCCCTCCCCGATCCACCCATTGCACCCCTCTGCTCCCCTGCAACTGTGGCAGAACATTTTACTATGTTCTTTGTTCTTCTGAAAACATGCAACAGCAAAAACTTGAAACATGGGGGAATGGACCTTGGTGACACACAACATGCATGGCCTCACCTTAAACTCCTCCCCCTCCTTAAAGGGGAAGCTCTTCTCCCTCTGCTCACTGGACCAGGAGCCATCATGCATGGAATTGAAGACGACGGTGCAATGGTCTCCTTTGTGGTTAAATAAAGGAGATGACTGCTCTTCTAAAACAGAAGCGATCATCCAGAAGGCTCAGCAGATGCTGTTCTTCATGAGGAGGCTGAAGAGCTTTGGTCTGGGAACCATAACTCTGGTGAACTTGTACCACTGCATCATTGAGGGCATCCTGACTGGATGCATCAGGGTGAGGATGGGAGACACAACTGCTCAGGGCCACTGGGCAGGACACCACACAGAAGCATTGGGGGGGGGGGGTTAGGTTGCTGGTGTGATTTTTGTGGTTTGAGTCTCTTCATGACCAATCAACAGCAAGGGCACCGGGGGGCGCATAGCTACCCTGGGAGGCACAGGCCCTTAGGTGATGCGCTTTCTAGTCAGTACATTAATTTCTTGTCCCATTGGCTGAGGAACGCTGTATAGCAACAGGTCTCTCTTCATTTGATCCCTGGTCTTTGACCTGTAATTAGTGATTTTTCTAACTCAACAAAAAATTCACATTGTGAAAATATTATGTTTATACATTTTCAGCAGTTCTCTGCTACATAACTTTATGCATTTTGTTATTTTTCATGTTTCGCTGGGATGGAGTATTTCCTATTTAGATTAAGAAAATCAATCACGTTCTGCTCTGGCCTGACCTATTCCTTTGAAGGCCAGTAGATGGCACTGATGGTCATCCTGCAGCCTCCCCTATTCCTGTGAGGGCCAGTAGATGGCACTGTTGGTCACCCTGCAGCCTCCCCTATTCCTGTGAAGGCCAGTAGATGGCACTGCTGGTCCTCCTGCAGCCTCCCCTATTCCTTTGAAGGCCAGCAGATGGCACTGTTGGTCACCCTGCAGCCTCCCCTATTCCTGTGAAGGCCAGTAGATGGCACTGCTGGTCCTCCTGCAGCCTCCCCTATTCCTTTGAAGGCCAGCAGATGGCACTGTTGGTCACCCTGCAGCCTCCCCTATTCCTGTGAAGGCCAGTAGATGGCACTGCTGGTCCTCCTGCAGCCTCCCCTATTCCTTTGAAGGCCAGCAGATGGCACTGTTGGTCACGCTGCAGCCT